AAAATGAGCTGTGTAAGGCTCACTACTCCAAGTGTGGTCCAGGGACCACCAACGTTAGCTTCACCTGAGGGTTCCTCATAAATGCACACTCTCAGATTCCACCCAGACCAGCTGAATCAGAATCTTTAGAGTCAGAGAAGTGCTATCCTATAGCAGGCTTGGACATAGGATCAGAATCCCTGGAGCTACATTTCTTGAATCTGCTTGACATATTAAGCTCCCCAGATGAATTGAATATATGCTGAATTTTGAGAACCAGTATAGGAAAACTGTGAAATGTCCTAAGAACCTCAATATGATGGCATTCAAACCACATCTTTCAGATGCCTCCTCCACTCAGGAGTGTCACAAAAATTCCCTTTGAGACATCCGTTAATTAGCAGCCCATCTATCTCTGAAAAAAGGCTATATGACAGCTTATAAATAGAGCAAGTGGTCAGGGAAGCAGCCTAACATTGGATTACAGGAAAACTCTACAAGCCTACAATCCCCTAACCACCTTTCTCCACATCTGGAGTATTGCAGAATCTAAAATCTCACAACTGGGTTATTCCCATGTATTCCCATACTTCTTTTTAAAAGCATATTTACATTTAGACTAAGTTGTTCATAACTTTTCAGAGCCTGCTTTTCTGGATGGTAATCTGTAGGCAAGTCTTGTCTTTTTACCTCCAAAGAAAATCTTGAATGTTCCACTTCTCTCCACCGCCACTGCTGCAGCACATCTCGCTTGTATGCCTGCCAAGAACTTCCCAGCTGGTGTCTCTGCTCCTATACTCTTGCCCCACTCTGATCTCTGCCCCACATAGCACTCTGAGTGGTCACTGGAAGAAGTAATTCGCATCATGTCATACTCCAGCCTAAAGCTAAGAACTGCCTGTATCAGATTCCTTTGGCTGCTGTAACAAAGTACCACACACATGGTGTCTTAAAGCAACAAACACTTATTGTCTCACAGCTCTGGAGGCCAGAAGTCCAAAATCAGTATTAGCGTGTCAGCAAGACCATGCTTGCTCTGGAGTATCCGTTCCTTGCCTTTTCCAGCCTCAGGAGGCTGCCAGCATTCCTTGGCTTATGGCTCCATCACTGAAATCTCTGACTGTGGGCGCATTGCCTCCTCTTCTTCTGTCTGTAACAACTCTCCCTCCACTTCCGTCTTTATAGAGATACATGTGATGGCATTTAGGGCCCACCTACGTAAACCAGGATAATCTCAAGATCCTTAACTCAACCACATCTGTAAAGTTTATTTTTGACATAACAGATAACATTTACAGGTGCCAGGGACTAGGATGTGGATGCCTTTGGGGATCATTATTCAGCCTGCCACACTGCCTTTCGATTGCACTTGAAAAAATCCAAAGTTTTGACCATGGCCTCCAGGGTCCTATGTAACATGGCCCCTCCCCACCTCCTGGATCCTATCTCACTCCACTTTCTTCCTATCATAACTCATCCCTCTGGGCCACTTTTAGATCTTCAGATAAGTATGTTCCTGCCACAGGGCCTTTGTTCTGGCAGTTCCTTTTGCTTCGAATGCTACTATTCTTGGTCTCATGTGCTGAATGAATGAATGAATGAATGAATGTTATATTCCTATGAACTCAGGAAACAAGATGGTAGGAAAAATAAAGCAGCAGCATGGGTAGAGATTAACTTTGCCTGCTTTTCAACTTTGCCTAGAAAGTTGTTTGGCTAAAGATGCTTCTACCCACCTACCCACTCTTTTTGCAATTGCCAAATGCCTTGAAATATTTACAAATCTTAGTTACTTGTAGGCTCTCTGGAAAGGAGTTGCTTTAGGTAGCGGTAGCCAAGCTAGAACTGAGTATTGATAGGAAAAGGTCACAAGGAACTATCCCCAGCCTCCTTGTTCTTAGAAAAATAAGATAGTCCTAGGTATAGAAAGCTATTTCTACCCACTCTTTTTGCAATTGCCAAATGCCTTGAAATATTTACAAATCTTAGTTACTTGTAGGCTCTCTGGAAAGGAGTTGTTTTAGGTAGCAGTAGCCAAGCTAGAACTGAGTATTGATAGGAAAAGGTCACAAGGAACTATCCCCAGCCTCCTTGTTCTTAGAAAAATAAGATAGTCCTAGGTATAGAAAGCTATTTGACATTCAACAATTCAATGATGTATCTTCTTCCTGTGGCCAATGAGTCATCATTGTAGATTTTGGTGGCAGTTTTATGAAGGCAACCACTAATGGCTGCATTCTGCCCTACAGATGGGAGGCCTGCCCGTGGTTAAATGACTTTTAATTATCTCCTGACTCTGAGAGCAGATCTATCATTAAATGAAATTTCCTGTGTGCTAGTATGATGAAAATGAAGTTCTTTCTTGCCCCTAGAAAGAAGGAATCTGAGTTCTGTACAGTTATACAAATCAATAGCAGTCACTATATTATAGTTAGTGGTTGGTCTAGAGTGATCGACTCACCTTGTTCCAGTTTGCCTGGGTCTTTCTCCATTAGCATTTTAAATCCTGCATCCCAGGAAAGTCTTTAGTCCAGGTAAACTGGAACGACTGTTTGCCCTAGTGGTAGCTAACAGGCTTATCCCTAACACTTGAAGGACCAAGGACAAAAAGGTATAAGTAGAGATCTCTGTAGTGTATGTCTAAATATATAGAAGTCATAAATCAAACTAATACACTGCTAAATAAATTTATATTCTATCCTCCTACCATGACAAAGGTCTTCAAAACAACCTAGAAGGCCAGGTTTGAGCTCTGAGCTCTGGGAGTCCCCTTTGGCTTCTAGTCTACCTCCATCTTCTCTTCCCATATTTAGCTTTGCCTCTCACCCTCAAGGGGTCTTTCTCACATAAGTGCAAATAGTCGAACTTCATCCACACCCCATAAACGACTACCTTTGGCTCTCCCCACCCTCAGGGTCTAGGGGTAACTGTGACAAAGTCTATCCTTAGTGGAAAATGGCCCTTGGGAAGAAGCCCATTCTGCTCCGAAAGTAGGATTAGAGCCCTTTGAGCAGGGAATTCTGGGGTCCATGGGATCTAAGCCTGGCCTGGAACAGGTGAGTGACCAGAAGGCCAGAGTGGAGTCCCCAGGACAAAAGCTACTCTTGCCTAAGTCTAAAAGCAATCCTGGGAGTCACCACTCACTAGAGACCCCTTGAAATTAAAAATCATGGGATAATTTTCAATTTCCAAACATACTACCATGTCCTCCTGGGAAAATGTTAGAGTGTTCAACCGAGAGAAACAAAGTTTGCACAAAACCTCATAGATGCCCTCAGACTATTCCTAGAAGGAACTAAGGTCCTCACTGGAGGAAATAAAATTATGGTATAGTAGGGAAAAGAAGTCATAGAGCAAAGAGGATGAACTACTCAGAGAATGGCTCTCCTACCTGGAGATTGGTAAGAAAAGTATCTGCCACGGCAGAAAGACTGGGAGCTTAAAATCCGTCCTTCTGAATCCATGCTGATGCAGGATTTCTGCTTCTCTTCGTGGGATTTACTCTGATAGACGATGCAGACTGTGCACAGAATATTAGTAGGGTAAGAGAACCACACACTGAAAATGATTGCTCTGCTCTTATGGCCTTGTTCATGTGAGGGCAGCAAGTGCCAGGCAGCTGGTGTTATGCAAATAACAGCATAGAAGTGATATGCTATGAGGTGGTGGAAAAGATCATGAAGACAGAAAACACTGATGTCATGATTAAAAGCATAATGTCAGAGAAGTTAGATTTAGATAATGCCTCTGCCATTTGCTAACGGTAAGACATTAGATGAGTTACTTTGCTTATTTGAGTCTTGGTCTTTCTTCCTAAGGAGAATCAAGATCCAAATAGCACCTACCACATCTAATTGGATTATATGTGGTACAAGGATTAATTGAGATCCAGCATATAAAGAACTCAACCAGTGTCTGTAACATAGTAAGTGTTCCAAACTATTGCCTACTAGTAGTAAGAAAAATGGTAGTAATCGTGGTGGTGGTGGTGGTAGTGATGATGGTGGTGACAGTGACAGTAATTGCACTATTGCACTAGTAGAGGAATACTAGTTGTCAAGAAGAGGTAGTGCCATTGTAGTTATACAGAGTTTAGGAGTTTAGTTTGGACAGCGAAGCTCACTGTTCTTGAGTCTGGAAAGAAAGGAGGCATTTTTAAAGATAATGAGATACTGGGTAAAAGAATCCCTTTGGGAAAGGAGATGACTTATGAACTAACCCTGTAGGAACTACAGAATACCAAACAGAACTGACTGGGAGACACATGAAAACATGACTCACTCACGCCTTCACTGAGACAACATGGCACAAACTCAGCAATGCCCATGAGCACAGAGTCATCACAGACCAAGTGGCGGACACCAAGAGAAGCTGCTGACGGAGCTCACGGTTGCATTCACAGTTGTATAGACTCAAGCTGAGTCACTGTAGCAATTCAGTAACATCTTAAGTGATAGAAGATGGCTCACTCACTGGCAAGCCTAAATCACCACTACCACTAGCAACTATCCTATCCCTGGCCAAATTTAGGTACTACTCAATTTGTAGATGAATCATTTCTAAATTAAGCATGAAGATTTCCAAATTAGCTCAAAATGATCTAACATCTGGACAGGAGATATATATTACTGAGTTGGAGGAGGGGACATAAGAAAAAATAGAGAGAAGGCTATGTTCTCTAAGAAAACTATTTTCTTTTGAAATATAGGATCTATTTTTACAAAAATGACTGACTCACTTTATTTTTCTGATCACTGAAAAGGAAAGAGAGTGCGTGTAATGGATTGCTTTACAACCAAATAAAGATGTCATGTGGACATTAGGCTTTCTAATTCAGTTTATATTATTCAAGCTGCATTTAAAATGCACATGCGCGGCTACAAGATTGATTCATTTCTCAGTTGGATTGCCTAAAGTCTTTCTACTGTTACAAATAATTTCTCGAAAAGCTTTCTCATGTCTTCTGGGATACAGGAACATAGCTCACCTCAGGATGCTCTCTGACTTGGTCACCCCAAGTTCTTGCTCTTGTTCCCGTGGGCTGTGAGCCTCACTGCAGAGCTCTTTGGTCTTCAGAAGGCCCAGAGGCTCTCTTTGCCCTGACTTCTCTTTGCCCTGCTTTCTGTTACAGGTTTTCCAATCCCTAGGCACATAGGGGGGAAAAGCATTTATGGTTATTTTCATGAACTCTGGAATCAGACAGATCAGCGTTCAACTCTTGGCTCTGCCACTTCACTGTACATGATTACAAACAAGTGGTTTATCCTCTCACAGCCTCAGTTTCCTTATCTGTGAAATGGGGATACTTAGACTTCCTAACTGAGAATTCTTGAGAGGATTAAGTGTGACACTTATATGTAAAGGACTTGGCTCAGTGCCTAGCTACATGACAAGAGCTTCACAAATACTAGCTCTTATTCTTTCTAATAGATGAGTATTTGGAGTTATTTATTTAGATACTCTAGAAGTTAAGCCCCTGGAATTTGATGTTTTAGGTAATAAAAAACTATAATCTCCAGCCAAACTGAACTTTCGCCTCAGGCTCATGCTTTTCTTATCACAATGCTCCCCATTCATCACCTTTTGTTATAATTGCTTAAGATCTGTCTTCCCCAGGAGATTAGACTCTGTGAATCTTTTTTCACTGCTGCAGACCCAACACACAGCAGAGCTCTTGGTACAGAAAGAGATGTGCAATAATTATTTGTTGAATTATGAAAGACTAAACGGCCAATGAACCAATGGAATGACAGACTGAATGACTAAATCACAGACCAAATGACTGAATGACGAATTGAGTGAATGAATGAATGAATTCATGAATGAATGAAAGAATAGTTGAATTGGTTGTCTAAATTCAACTGGATGATACGAAAATACTTTCCTAGCATGGTAAAAGATGAGACCACTAAATAAAGAATTTTAAGTTAGAAAAGTAAGGTGTTTTTTTTTTGAGGGGGGATATATAATAACTGTTTTTAAATATCTTAGAGTTCAATTCCCCTACCCCCCACAATCACTGATAGGATAGGTGATAATGCCCTATTGGAAAACATTACTCACTCTACACTCACATGGCCCTCAAATTGCACAATCCTTCCAACCTCCATCATAATCCAGGATCTGCTTGACAGCTTCTGGCCTCAGCATGTCTATCTATGTCAGATGACATCATGGCCAAACCATGTGTCTTGGGCTGTGAGAACAACTGGGGGAATCAACAGGAAGCCCCAGAGGTTTCACTTCCTAATTTCTGATAACTAGGAATCTTTCCTGAAATCTCCCTCCCACCCCTTTCTTTTGAGTGAGCTCATCTAGTCTTTCCAGAAAAGCTGATCAGTGGCAAAGCATTGCTGGACTTTGTCAGAGGGATTTGATGTCTTCATACCTTGTTCATCAGCCACAGGACACACTCATCCTTCAGAAGCTCTGGAATTCTGCCCACAGATGTCTGGACATTTTGCTGCATTCCCAGGGGGACTCTTAGAATGTACATAGAAGATCCAGATTATTCTTAAATTATAACCTGCCTCAAACAAACATACTTAAAATGACCATTGAACAGTAATTTGACTATCCTATCCTCCTCCTAAGAATCTATCATTATAATGAAATAAGTGAAACACTTATTTAATGCCATTTTTCCTGGTGTATGGGAGAAAAAATCTCAAATCCAGTTTGATCAAAACCTTAAAGGTTCCTGGAAAGATTTTCTAAGAGAACCGAGCATGGTGACTACCTACACGGCAATTAGCAAATAGTAATTACACAGCTGTCAGGTATAAAACATTCTCCATGCCAGGCGTTAGACTGCATGCTTTCTATACGTTAGCACATTTAATCTGCATGGCAGTGCTATGAGTTTAGTATTACTTTATGGAGAGATAACTTGAGGTTCCCAGCAGGTACCCGAGCAAGGATATGAAGCAAATTAGCCTGACTTTAAAGCTAGTGCTCCTGCACCTCCACAGGTTGCACCACAGACCCCATAATAGGAGGGAAGGATGACTGCCAATGAAGTGGAATGGAATCGTGGAATATAACTTAGAACAAAATGGTGCCTAAAATCTAGAGGAAAGAATGGAGGGAAGACCTCATGAACATATGACCAAAGTTTTCTAATAGATAAGCTGCCATGATATGAGAAAGGGAGAGCCACTCAAATAAGTTCCAAAGGCTGGAAAGAACAGAAGCGTGACAGCTCTAGGAAGACAGATGTCAGCCCAAGGTAACGAAGCATCTTCTAACTATGAGAGTTGTCTAAAATTACTGGAACTGTCTGATGATAGTATGAGCTCTTGGACATGGAAAGCATCCAAGCAGAAGGTAGGAAACATCCTGTTGGGTGTCACAGAGGTGAGGATGGGATACCTTTGAGGTCCTGTCCAACTCCCAGTCCCTCTGTTTGCTTTGGGTAGATGCTCACTAATCATCTAAGAAAGTTCACCCTTGCCTGCACCCAAACACCATCACTGACATTCATGTAAAAGAGTCTATGCAAAACCAGTCCAATGTGACAGTTTAATCTTCTTGTGGATAGAGGAGGCAATAATGGGGAACTGTTATTCTGAATCTGTTTGTGATAAACAAGGAATAATTGGGTGAACATTAAAAGGGAGAAAAATCTTGACAGATGAAAGAAATTATGGGTGTTATTGAGTGCCAAGAAATGGGCTGGGCTTTATACATGTTCCTTCACTAAAGCTAGGTATCACCCTCTTGAGGTAGGGCTGATCACTGCCATTTGACAGCTGAAACCATCTAAGAGAGAGGTGAACTTACCCATGGCCACAAAGCTAATAAACAGTAGAACCAGGGTTTGAACTCAAGATATGCCAGACTTCAAAATCTTCAGTCTTTTCTCAAACAATATGCTACCAAACCCAGTGAGGGGATGCTGAGTGGGACACTGAGAGAATGGTACTTAGAACAGGTCAATTTTGATGGGTGGAAAAAGAAATAGTAAGGCTGAAGCATGGAGTAAGGCATAAGGAAGTAAGTCAGAACGAAACGCTCAGACAGATCAATTTAATCACTGAGTAAAGGCAAGAAACAGAGGAAATGGATCAAACTAGACATCACTTCCTTCACAATTCAGTCTAATTTTAGTCTTGAGCCCAATCCACAGAACTGGTCCCAAATCACAAATGATATTTAGGACCTCAGACATTTTTGTCTGACCAAAACCCACATGTCAACTTTGCCCCCAAAGGTAACATACAGAAACATCTTCACTATTTTTTTCTGCAGAATACAGGATGATTTTAATATTCCATGGGGAGATGTTACCAGGTAATTCAGGTTGATAAGGCTTTGGAAAATTAAAATGCCAACATGGTAAACAAAATGGAAAATGTGATAATGAGAAAAGATGTTAATGACAGCTTTAACTATACCAATTTTTATCTCCTCTCTGTCTCTTCAGTTCTCCTAAGAAACAGGGGTGCCACTATGCTCCCCCTACCCCTCACAATTTAGAGATTTTCTGATGGGTTGGGCAGGCCTGATTTTCCCCATTATCTCGTGAATAGACTCTTATTCTAAAACTGAATTATATTTTAAATAATCCCCATAATTAGGTTGTTGAGAGTTACCTACAATTAGATCACAGGTATTACATGCATATGTGTGGCCGGGGGAGATGAAATGTTTTTTATTTCCATGCTAGGGACCCAGACTCTATAATGTAGGGATTACACATGATCAGCAAAGTGTGGCACATGGTGGACACTGCAAGAAATGGTTGCTGATGCTTCAGTTGTCATTTTCTATTTTTTATCAGTACCAACTTTGTAGTCTAGTACCCATGTTCCAAATTCAGGTTCTGCAATGAGCTATGTGACCTTGGGAAAATTACTTAATGATCTAGGGCTCAGTTTGTTCTTTGGTAAAATGGTGAGAAGACCGCCTGCTTCAGGAAAGTGTTGGGAGGATACAGTAAAACCACCCATGGATAGAGCCTGGCAAAGTCATGTTGGTGCTAGCTCAGAAATAGCACTTAGTACCAGTCATCCTGGGCATGTCTCATGAAGCTTAAAAGTCCCCCTTTGAAGGCCACTGTAAACTCACCACCCAGCCAGCCCCTCTCCAGGCTAGTGCACCCCTTCCACTACCCCCATCCCCAAAGATCAAAGTTATTCTTAGACTAGGAACTTGTAACTTCGATATTGTCCCCTAATCCTATTCAACAGGCTTTCTCCTTAGTGAGTCACGCCAACACCTCTCACTTTCAATGGGCACGTAGAACACTGAAGTATTTTGCTACATTTTGGCTGCAAATTCCATGCTGGCTAGCAAATTACAGTGATTCAAGCTTAGGATGAGAGTCCAGCTCAGCAAATTACTCCATGTTCCCCAGTGTCTCACACTCCAGCCTCATCCCCAAAGGCTCACGTCTAGATTCATGTTAGCTGGAACCCTGGCATGAGACCACTCTGCATTTGGGAAGGCCATCAGCACTTAGATCATGCTCTTGCATACAGCCTCATACTCACTCATCACAATAGGCTCTGTTTTCACAGATGAGGAGACCCAGACACAAGGGAGTCAAATACCTACAGTCACTGCCAGTGGCTAAAGGAGAACTCTTCAGTCAATCTCATGATGCAAGAGCAACCGGCAGACCTGCCCAGGAGAAGGCCCTCAAATTTTTCTTGCCTCCCCCAGCACCTCTAACTGGCTTTTGTATTCCAATTCATTGCCAAGTCCCAAATCCTTTTAATGAATTCACACGTCAAAGGCCAAAAAGACTATATAAGAAACACACAGGCAGTCTATATCTCAACAACATAGTGAAAGCTGCACTGGCATCATCTCTAAACCCCACTTTTGTATTTGTATGGGTCAGGGTCCTCAGTGGAAACTCTAAAGGGAAACTGAAGGGATTTTAATGAAGGAGCTATTAATGAAGGAGAAAACAGTATTCAGTGAACACAGTCGGAAAGAGGAAGCACCCTGGAGCCAGTGACAGCAGGAGGCAGGGACCACCCTAGGACTGATGGGAACAAGGGAGAGAACAGTCCCAGGCTGACATGAGCTGTGACTGTAGGTAGAGGAACATCACCACCTTTGAAACTCAGGCCAAACAGGGGGTAAGTTAGGGGATTAAGTACACCCACCTCTGAACTCCCACTGGAGCCTCCTGCTGGCTGAAGTCCGGAAAGACAGCAAAGGAGTCTGTTGCTAAAGTCCGGGGTCAGCCTCCCAGGCACAGAGCTAGAGGGGGAGAGGAGGAGAAGGAGTTGATCTGGAGGGACACAGTGAACATCCATAATAGTCCCCAAAGGTTAGACTCCTGTTTCTCCACCTTCATCCAGGCTAAGCCCTCACTCCGAAGCCCAGCGTCTCCTCAGTGATCTCAGATGGGTTTGATCCCAACCAGATTTGAGGCCTTGAGCAGAGCTTTAGTTTCTCCCCTGTGAATAAGAATCACAACATCTACCACCTGGGGTTGTTTTAAGGATTAAAACAATTTAACCTCATAAAGAACTGAAACAGCATGTGGAAAATACCAGGCATGTGTATTTTCTTCATGCCTGCTACCCAGACAGGGACTGCTCCAGTTCTGCGGCAGAAAACCAGGTGATAGAGATTTGTGCACCCTCTCTCCCCCTCCTCTCTCTCTCTCTCTCTCTCTCTCTTTCTCTCTCTCTCTCTCTCCTTGGGTTCCCCTGGGGACAGGAGCTCCCTCCCTCCCTCTCTCTCTCTCTCTCTTTCTCTCTCTCTCTCTCTCTCACACACACACACACGCTGAGAGGATGAATAAGCTGAGTGTAGCATTAAATATTACACTTATATGTAAATTAAATATGCAATATGGTTCAATCCTCCAAGACCATAACTAGAAGCCTCTCCTGGATAAGAGTAAATGCTACTTTAAAAAGGAGATACTTAACTCATGTAACGTATTGCCCCAGGAAGCTTTAAGAATTAAGAGAAGTATTTCTTTTAAAAATAGATACCAAACTTCTTTGCTCCAAGAAATAGCAGAGAACTAAACATTTAAAACAGACCCAAGAATGATAGTGTTCTCTATGCTGTGTATCAAATGGCCACAAACTTACCAGCTTAGAACAATATTCATTTATCATCTGATAGTTTCCATAGTTTCCATCAATTAGGAGTTCAGACATGGCTTAGTGGAGTCCTCTGCTCATGGTCTCACACATCCCAGGTGTCTGAGGTCTCTTCTTCTTTCATGCTCACGTAGTTGTTGGCAGAATTCATTTCCTTACAGATGCAGAACTCATGGCAGCTTACTTCTTTAAGGCCAGCAGGACTGATGTAGAGGTTTTTCCTGTTTCTGACTTCTAGATCCTCTATTAAAGGGCTCATCTGATTAAGTCATGCTCGCTCAGGATGATCTCTCTTTTGATTAATCTATCAGAGACCTTAATTACATTTGCAAAATCCCTTCATTTTTGCCATAAGACACACCATAATCATGGGAGTGAAATCCAACACCTTTGCCTCATTCTATTGGTTAGATGCAAGTTCTAGGTTCCACTCAAACTCACGGGGAGGGGATCATACAAGCGCCTGGGTCATTGGGGAGGCATCCTGGAATTCTGCCCACTACAGATAGTTGTAAATGAACATCCAGATATACTTTCGTAAGGTAGAAGGAATAAAGTTCAATATTCTCATTTTTCAGAGACTCAAAGAATCTTAAACATATTGCCCAAATCACTGAGCTTGCCCTTATGATGGAGCTAAAACACACAGAGATTTTCTGGGTCTAAATCTTGTGCTCTTTCCACTCCCTCATCAACTTGGCAAAGAAGGGAATGGCTCCATTGCACCATGACGTGGGATATGTACCTGATTCGCAGAGCAAATGGATCACTTGCTCCCAGTATATAATAATAAATTTGAATTGTAAGTGATCCTGCAGATAATGGTCAGCCATACCATTTTTAGCAGACCTAGGATCAAAATACAGGGTTCTAGACTCCTGATACAGCTGTCCTTCACAATGAGCAGATCTCCTTATGTCTTTCACTGTCCCTATCAAAGACAGTCTATGAGGCAAGAAAATACTTGGGTCTAACAATCATGTTTTGTTTTTATCCAGATGTTTTGGCCTTAAAGGCAAAGCCTTTCTCGATCTAGGAGATCATCCAAAAATCTGGAGAAAATTAGATAGTTATTCTAAAATTAAAGTTACTTTAAGAATGGCAAGAAAGAAACCAAAAATTTTAAGCTGTGAACAAATCACATATATATGGTACAAATGATGGTCCAAGTTGATACAAATTAAAATGTTGTGTGGTTCATGGTATATTTATATCAATTAATACACATTAAAATATACTATGTGGCTTATGGATTATTTATATCTACCTACTCTTAAGTATAGAGTGTTTTTAATGAAGACAATGTGTTTTAAAAGAGCATAACCAAAGAAACCATCACTCAACTGAGCCATGCTTGCTACAGTATAACAACAAAAAAAAAACATCATCAATGTGAGCTAGGATTATTGGGAATTTCGTAAGTGTCTGGCATGAAACCAAAAGGTCTGGGTTCAAGGTTTTGCTTGGTCTTTCTAGCTTTGTGACTTTGGGCAAATCACTTGTCCCTCCCAGTGAAGTGCTTGAAACACATAATAGACCGGACACTCAGCTATGGACTCCCAGCCTCTTGGTCTGACTATCTGATAACGAGAGGTCGTTGAGTACCAGCCAAGTTTTTATTAGTACTTCTTGGGTGTCCTCACTAAGAGTTAAATAGTAAATCAGATATTGCCACTTCCCTGCTAAAAACTCTATAACTGCCCTATCCGATATGGTAGCCACTGGCCACATATAGCTATTCAGCAATGTGTCTGATCTCAACTGAGATGTCCTGTAAGTATAAAGCACACACCAAAGATGCTGCATTTCAAAGATGCAGCATGAAAAAAAGAATGTAAAACATCTCAATAATATTTTTATCAATTACAGGTGGAAATGAAAACACTTTGGATTGGATTAAATAAAATACATATTATAAGCAGTTTACCTGTTTCTTTTTAGTTAATTTTAATGTGGCTATTAGAAATTTTAAAATGACATGTGTGGCACACACTATATCTCAGTTAGAAAACACTGATCTATAGCTTCCCACTGTTCTCAGAAAAAAAAAATTTAAAATTTAGTGTGACCCACAGGGCCCAACACAATCAAATCCCTGCCTACCTCTCTCATTCCTCATTCATTCTCCCCGTCTCTCCTCACCCTCCAGCCACACAGATCTTATGATCCCTCACACATAGCAAGCCCATGCCCACCTTAGGGTCTTTGTGCTCATGACTCCATCCTTCCGCAATGTTCCTTCCATGGTGACTCTACTCATAGCTGACTCACTCTCCTTCTTCAGGTCTCAGTTCATATGTCACCTCCTCCATCCGGCCTTCCCAGACCACCTGATCTGAAGGGATCACACATCCAGTGAATCTCTTCTCCATTTGTTTTCTCTGAGACATTCATTGCCATCCTTAGTCACCTTTTCTAATAAGCTGTTCACCTGCTTAACGTCTGTCTCTCCCTACTAGAATAGAAGCTATGTGAGGGCAGGAACCTTTCCTGTCTTATTCACTCTCTGTCATATCTGAAGATCAGTGCCTACAAACACTCAGCTCGATGTTTGTTGAATGAATGAATGAATGAATAGTGAAAAGAACATGAGACTCAGAGTCAAAAATCCCAGTTAGGACTAACTGGTGATAATGATGAGAACAACACTATCATCTCATTCCAGGTGTTTACTCTTTTCCCTGTAATCATCCTCAACAGTCACTATGAGAGGTAGTGTAGCATAATTGAAAGGATACAGTCTGGAGTTAGAAGCCCTGAGTTCAAATTTCAGTTCTGCCATTTACTGGCTATGTGATCTTGGATAGAGCCCTTGACTGTCCCAAACCTCCATTTTCCCCCAGAGTGGCTGTCTTGAAGTTCAAGTAAGATACAGCTTTGTCAACCAGAGAACCTCAGTGATATTTATTAGACCAAGACGTTCCTGAAGGGGATAGATTCTTTAGTTACCTGGGTGTCCCCAAAACCTAGCACAAGGCTTGGCTTAAGAAATGCCCCAAATTGCTTGCTGGATAAATGAAGCTTCTAATAAGACCCAGCAATGAACCTTGGGGAATTCCAAACTCTCTACTGTTCCAACCTGGAAAGGACACCCCGTTTTCTACCAAAGAGAAGCAAAAAGGCCTCAGAACTGCAGTGTAATGGCCACGTTGTCTCCATTTTCCAGAAGTTGCAAACTATAGGAGTCTGTCCAGGTTTCCAGTCAAGACTCTAACTATAGGTCCTCTGGAACATTTGGCTTCAGAGTGGGTTTAAAGTGTCAGTGTCAGCATCCTCAGCTGGGGAGAGAGCAAGCTCTAGCAGGGAGCAGGGATCACCTTTCTGCCCACGACAGGTTCTTTTCCAGAAAGGAAAGAATGGACTACCTCAAGCAATAGTTCCTGATTCTCACATTCTGAGAAACAGCCACATTATCTGCCTCCTGAATTGAAACTGGGGCCAAGGGTAAAAATAAGGAGAGGAAAAGGTAGATTGTGTTTGGAACTAACAGTGTTAAAGTTAATAACATTAGAATTATTGCATGGAACAATGATTTCTCAAGATGGGGCATGAAAGATGGCTGGGGAGTGGGAAATGACTTCACTGGGAAGGCTTCTGCCTAGTTTGCAAAAGATAAAGCTTGCTTTTGTTATTCTCCTGGCTTCTATTCCCATACCTCAAATATAAAGGCTTCTGGCATGACATCCTAGTAAAATACTATTGTTCCTAGGATTTGCTACTGAAAGAGCTATTCACATGGAAACCTCTCCCAGGCCAGGCTTCTGATGGCCACTGAATATTTACAAACTGGTTTAACATGCAGCCCACCTTGGAAGTTTGGAGGAACCAGACTAGGTGTGTAGCACTGCACCATCTCTCCTTAGTCCCACCTTAGCCAGCTCACTGCTGATTAAAAGCCGGACTCCAACCATCTTTCATTCAATAAATGTGTTCTGAGTGTTTATCACATGCTGGTGGTGGGGCTCTAGCTGGGAGCAAGCAAAACAAACATCAATTAGAGTAGAAATCCATGAAAGAAAAAGGCCATTCCTTGTCTTAGAAAAGGGGAGTCACAAACAGAAAGTGCTTTCCAGCCATGGGAAAAAGGAATCACAATTTGGAATCACTGGTCAAGATTTGGGACTGCTGGAGATGATGATATGTTAAGAACCAAATGGAGGAGGAAGCTTTGAGAAGGAAAGCACCTCCAATAAAAAAAAGTCCTAGAATGTGACTTGCAGCTCCCCCCTTCCTCTAAGACAGTCACATATGATGTACTTTGAAACCAGCCTTCACTCACCCTACAAAATACACATTTAGAGAGAGGGAAGCATAGGAGAGACATACATAATACTATTTGGATTCGCATATCTTTCTAAATTCCAATTCTCATCATTACTGAATTTCTACCCTACAACCCGGTTTTATTTTAGCCCACTTGAGCCCTGGTTTCTGGTAGGGGGCACTGTCAATGGGGTGGGTTACAGGATGAAACCCTCATGACAGACAGAGCAGTTTTCTCCCCAGGATGAAAAGGGCCTTATGTATAGGACTCTGTCCAAGCAGAGAAAATGCCTCTGGGAACCCAGGTCTGTGGAGCTGGGTCAATAGAGGGATGTGGATTTATAGGCAGACAGCACCGAATAGTGAGAGAAAACTGGTTGATGTCATTTTATAGGAGTTGTTATGTTAGATGTTGCAGTACCAATTTCCTAGTTTGTGATTTTTAATCCTGTGCACCTTCTCCCCAGGTGAGTTCTCACTCTCTCAGGTTAAAGCCTTCCTGAAGAGTTCAACTTTAGAGCAGCTTCCTTCTCTGATCCTATTTTCTTATCTGCCAAATGAGAATGATCGTTATTATCATCATCATAGTAATAATACCTGAGATGATTACAAGGATACAAGAAAAGACGACAGGAGTGAAGATGTACATCTTGGTATTTATAAAATCAGGATATTCTTCTTTTCCTCACGGAATCATAAGGATTTACACCAGAGCAAGTTATGGAAGGCATGAATAATATTTTACAAACATTAAGTTAAAAAAAAAAAAAAAACATAAATTCACTGGATTCTCACCTCCTCTCTGGTGCTTGGAGAACTTGCCCAGGTTTGGGAAAAGTTAGCTGGCCAAGGCAACGCTACTGCATACCGCCTTCCTCCCCACTCTCCTCACACCCACCTAGGACAGACAAGGCAGAAAGGGTGGGAAGGGGAACACAGCTCAGTATTTATTTTTGGATCCAGCTCACTAAAAATACCTCGGTTTTCCTGTTTGATGACTCTCCCTTTTGACCTGAATGAATTGCGGGACCCAGCGGGACGCCCCACCCTCTGTTCGTTGTCCTTTAAAGGAGAAGGGCGTGGAGACGGATTCCTGCCGCCGCTCAAGGGACAGATGTGAGGCCGCGGCCGCACTGACGTCAGGGCCGCGCTCTCTCGGCTGCAGCCTCCGGCCCAGCGGTGGCCGCCCAAAGGGAGGGGGGAGCCACACGCTGGGATTGGTTGGCCAAGTGCGAGCGCCCGCACGGATTGGCTGGCAAGGTTTTAGAGGGAGTCCCGCTCTCCAATTAAAGGGCCCCGCCGCGCCCCGCTGCGCGCAGAGCTCCCCCTAGGCCCGCGAACCTGGCCATTCAGCCACCGCTGTCTCTGCTGCGCTCCCTCGCGCCTCTGCCTGAGAAGCTTGCGCTGTTTTTCCAGCCCAGAAGAAAATGGCAAAGGTGGCTAAGGACCTAAACCCAGGAGTTCAGAAGGTGAGCTGTGATCTGTCTGTACTTACCCAGATTCTTTCTTTTCCCCGTTTCCCTCTCCCATGTGTTCGCGCAGACTTACCTAAAAGTAAGAAGAAAACTTTTTAAATTACAAGTCTTCACAAAAAACAAAAAAAGTTGAGAGTACTTGTTTGAACCAATAGGCACACCCACCAAAATTTACTCTTAAAGGCCATTGTGTAAAGTATTTGCAAAGGATCTTAGTTCTTTGGCGATGCTAATTAAAATTTAAATAAGTAAAACCTTTTTTTTAAAATGATAATCCTATGGTCTTTAGGGGAAACGCCTCCCTTCCCCTCTCTTTTCCCCCTCCCGTGATTGAGGTGAATGTTGGGGGTTGGTGCGAAGTGTGGGGGTGAGGGGAACGTGTAATTTTCACTCACAAGAAATTTTCACCTTTTGCTGTCATCCTAGTGTTTTGTGTTACACTTACACACACACGCACACACACACACACACACACACACACACGTTTCTTCAGTGGCTGATGTTGGCAATGGCAGCAGGACAGGGGAACTAATTTCTGTCCCTAGGGTCTGCACGTTTTTCTTTCAAGAAGGGCTAGCTGGAGCCCAAAAGGGCAAGGGTGAATTACCGAGGGTGAATTACCGAGGGTGAATTAGCCCGCAGCTATGACTGCAGCGCCAGCACCCACTGGTTACTTCCCTGAATACTGTTGGGAGAGGGTACAGGCCAGAGGCATAGGACATGTGAACTGGAAAAGAGCAAAGTGACAGCCTAGGCCAGTGGAGAAACTGAGGCCCGAGGCCACAGGGAGTTGGATCCATCAGGCAGCAGAGCATAAGGAAAGCCTTAAGCATTGAAACCCTGGCCCTGACACTTCTTAGCTGCACTGTATTGACCAAGTCACTTTTCTGAGCTCTTTTCCTTGTCGCCAAAGTGGGGATGATAGTCCCCTCACAGCAGTAATAACAGCAATGGTGCATTGTGGGTTAGTCTCCCAAAGCAGTATTTTAAAAAAAAAAGATCTAATTGGCTTTATTGAAGGATACATGAATCAGGCAGCATCCTATCTATTAAATAGAGAGGGGCTCCAAAAAGTTCCAAATCAGTCATTTTAAAACTCTGATTTCAGAGGATTTGGTCTTGCAGGGCAAAGTCTTCCTTAGACATCTAACATTACCTGTAAGGTAGAACTGAGAGGGGGAAAAAAAGAAACTATTGTCAGAATCAAAATAAAATGCAAACCAGCCACTTAGGGGTGCAGCATTCATGCATCTTATTTATAGCTGCGCCATTGCACCACTGACCTTCCCCAGACTCCCACACAGAGTCCAGAGGACCCTTCTGAATGTGTACACCAAGTCAGACTTCCTCAGGACATCTCTGGAATGTACCATGCCCCCTTACATTTGCCAGACTATTTGCAGAATCAAGTCATCTCTCCTTCTACGGAATTTTCATAACACTTTAAACCATGGTAAGATACCTATTAATTTCTACCTAGTAGCGAGTTAAGCATACACTGCTCTTATTTCTCTACACTCTTTTCAAACTCCTTGAGGACAAACCTTTCTTGCTTATCTCTGTTCCAAGACAACATGCCATCCACAGTGGGACTTACACCGCTGTAATATCAATCCAGCCAAGACCAGAACATTCATGGACAGTACATTTTGTGCATTGTTGTTTTTTAATTTGTTGTAGCACCAGGATATTTGTATCTGAACTTACTCCCCAAATTCAGTTAAAGTAAAAAGTTCAGGGCTAAAGAGGGAGAGTCTCGCTATCCTCTGGAAAATCAGATGATTTGGGGTGGTTTTAGCACAAGCTGGCTGTTGGTTATTGTATGGGGTGAGGCAAGGTACATGGAAAACCCCCTCAATGAAAGCCTAAGCCACCACCTGGAGGAAGCCTTGTTTCGTTTTGTTTGCTTTTATAGTTCGTTTTATTATTATTATTATTAAAGTATAGTTAACCTACAGTGTTATATTAGTTTCAGGTGTACAACATAGCGATTCTACATTTATATACCTTACAATGTGATCTCTGCGATAAGTCTAGTAGCCATCTGTCACCATACAAAGCTATTACAATATTTTTGACTGTATTCCTATCTTGTTTTTATTTTTCTTTGCATTGGAGAGTGTGATGATCTGAGTTAGAGGTGGAACATGTTCTCCTTCTTGTTTCCTCTAGTGCCAACTTCCTTGGCATGCAAAGGGTTTATTTTTTCATTTAGATCCAATTACAGGCTTAGAGAAAGAATGCGGTGGGTAGAGATGAAAGGGCAGATATTTTTTACCTCTTGGGACTGTGACAATCAGGAGGAAGATCACCACTTTGTAGCTTAACCAATGTCTTCAACTCAAAAAGTTGAGGGAAGGGAAAGGAGTGGGGGAGAAGCTCTCCCTGCTGAGGGTTAAGGCAATGATTAAACACTTTGTCATATCAACAACATGCTGAAAAGCTTTTATTGCATATTTATGTTTTAAATCTGCAACAATGGGGGTTTTATAACATTTGGCTTCAGGATGCATAATCACACTTAGGCATTTCCAAAAGATTTCACGGGCTCTTAGAGCTGCAAGGGACCTATTTACAAAATGAGAAATGGTTTTAAATGGCATACAAGCTGTCTTCACTGCCCTGCCCCCAAGGGGAGAGGGGTGCAGGGAATTCCCAGCAGCTGGAAAGTCATGTAAAGGTCTTCAAGAGAGAACATAAAATCCAAAAACTGGAGTAGTCTTAGAGGTCATCTAACCAATCCGAGACATACTAAGGGACTTACCATGGGTCACATACATAGTTAGTGGCAGAGCTTAGAAACAGTTCCCTACCTCCTCTCATCTGTGCTAAGTCAAATGGTCCCATTGGGTGGATGCTCTTGAGTTACCATTTGTTTTTCTACTGAGAAAGAGATTTCCCAGCACAGAGAATTCCCTGAGATTAATGAAATAAATAGCCAACATTCCTTGGGAAAAAAAGGCCTTGAAAGCCAAATGCCATTTCTCTTGGTGGAATCAATAATTATTATGGATTTGTTCTTCTGTTGTTTATTAAGTGTATTTTAGAATACTGGTTACTAGTATTCTTGTAATCAGATCTAGGTTCAAATCCCAGCACTACCCCGTACTAGCTATGTGCTCTTGGACAAACTAATTAACATCTGAGTCTGTGTCCTCAGCTGAAAATTGAGGAGACAGTAGCAGCATCTACCTCCCAACGTGGCTGTGATCATTAAATGAGATGATATATATAAAGGAGTTCAGCTCATGAGCTCTCAAATAGAGTTAGCCATTATTATTGTGGGTGGTAGTGGTATATTTTGATGGGTGTGTGAATGCTGAAAAGAGTCTTTGGTGAGTGAAAGACACATTTTTTCTTTATGACCATCCCACCTGAAGAGCAACTAATTTTTATTCAACTGAACCAAAGTCTGTTGCTCAGCCTTGATAAGCTAGGACAGTGAGTAATAATCATGTCTTTATTCTAGCCTAACAGATAAAAAAAATCTGCTTCCACAGAACAGAGATTACCAGTCATTGAACATTTCACTCTGGAGTCATAGAATTTTAGGCTAGAAGGGAATGTGGAGCTCTTTTCACTTCTTAGATAAGGAAACTGAGGCCCAGAGGGATCAAGCTCCTCACCTGAGATTGCTAAGAGGGTGTGCTGAAGGCCTTTAGGCTCTGCAAGAATACAAGCCCTTTGGCTGCCAAGGAGCCCTTAGAAGGTATTTAGAAAGGACTAGAACAAAAAGATCTAAGAGCATGTTCACTGTTGACTGAGCATGTGCCAATGGACTGGATCCAAAGGGTTCTATTTTTCAACCCTCAGCACAATGTTGGAGGAGCATTAAATGATAGTTCTTCTAAGTGCAGTCATTGCCAGGTTCAGCTGGGTGTCTCCCTCTACTCTCTCCACATCACATCCCTCTTGGCTTTCCTGTCCTTCAGCTTTCTCCTCCCATCTGTACTCAGCCCTTCCTGCTTTCACCTCCAGTTCCTGCAGCGTGCAAAACTGCTGGCACGTTGCCTGGGCAAGCCGATCCAACATAAACACGGCTCCTCAAGAATTGTCATTGGCTCCCTCAATCTTAAAAATATATTAAGCCGTCACTTAAAGACTTTAATAGCCAAGGCACTGGAGACATGCCCATAGGTGTATATAAGCAACTTGGCCCAAAAGAAAGCCTTATTTTAAAAAAAGAAAAGAAATTATCCAAGTCCTTCTTAAAGGATTTCCTAAAACAGATGCTGAAGCCATTACTTCATAATTGCAGATGCTTGTCATATTGTGCAGAGGTGTCTGAATATGTGGGGTTGGGGGCTAATGATTGACTTTCACCAGTGCATCCACCATGTGTGGTGGTGAGAGGCAAGGAAAGGCTTAATCACAGAGCATCTCTAGGCTTTAATTTAAGCCATCTCAGCTCCAAGATCTCCTTGCCCAGAGCTTGCAGCAGTTCTACAAGTAGGACAGACAAGTTTGAGAAAAGACAAAAGGGAGGAAGGAAAGACATCTCAATTCACACAGGGAACTTTGACGTTTTCTCACATCTTATCTCCTTTAGCCTTAAGGACTACCATGAAGAAAGATTAGTGTCCTTTTTACATGAGTAAATTAAGTCTGAGGGTTTAAATGACTTGCCTAAGATCATATGATTGCAGGTTAGGAACACAAACCCAGTCTTCTCTAATTCCAAAACTTAAGCTCTTTCCACTACAAGAAAAAACAAGGCTTTCATTAGAAGTGGAAGTCTGGAGAAGAGGGACTATGGCTATTGCTATGAGCTTCACAAAGATCAAAGTCTCCCTACACAATGATAGTTCGATTCAGGAACTGCCCAGCATTTACCAGATGTTACCAGGCATCTGTACCTCTCTGATATCTTTCGGTCACTACCAGGTTTATACTGCCACCCATGCTGTCACAGCCATTCCCCATGTATAGAACAAGGGCTTTCTAGATTTCTCCTGGTTCCTAGTTTTCTAGAAGATTTATAGAACTCTCTATGG